CCCCAAAACCCCAAAACCCCAAAACCCCACAAGTGTTAATTAAAACTCATGATCTCTGTGAGTAAAATCAATTTTAAAATTAATAATCTCTAATAATTTTATCAATCCATCAATCATAATAAATTGTGTTCATATTCAGTCTATTATCCTTCTAAGATTTTTAGGATTTAATCTACTCTTCTTTTGCTAAACCTGACTTTTCCTTAAATACCTTATTCTTAATATCAAATTTATTCTTGATAGTGCATTTGATATCATTGAAATCAAGAGAATCTTCAATAATAGCATATGTAGTCGTCTTTTATTGCATCTAAGGATTTTATTTATTCTTGTGAATGATTGTTGAATTATTGATGTTGTAGAAATTATTTTAATTCTGAACAGGCTTTTTTTCAGGTTTAGGCTAGTACAATTACTTCTACAGTGTTATTTATATTGGCTTTGATTAGGACTTGTGATTGAAAGAACTAATAGTCTCTTTTTAAAGAGTAATCTCTTCAAAGTCTATATCGATCCAATCTTAGTTTTTCTTAATTCTTTGCTACTATAGTGCTTGCTATTACTTTTTATACATCTCTACGGTCTATTTCTGGTGCTCACTCCTTATAGTCTCTTCCTATTGCCTTTATATATGCTTTTAAAGTCTCTCTTTCATCTTTAGAAGAGGGATATGCTCATTGGTATCGAGACTCATTCCCTGATTCTAATTTATCTTTTTATGCAAAACTAACTTGGGTTACAATTGCTTAATCTTAGATTCTTGATCAACATTCATTGTTTAGTTTAAATTCTTTGAGTTTTCTTGGTTATAAGTTTTGAAATCATCAAATAGCCAATTAGTCAATTGCACCTTACTTTTTGGAAATACTGTTTAATTAGTCTTTTAATTGGATTTTTTCCTGTTTAGAGCAGGCTTGACCATTATAGATTTTAAACTACTTTGAATAAGCTTTTGCTATGAATTTTCCAATATAGAATTATCCATTAAAACAGTAATTAATATTTATTATAACTATCATGTTTACATTCTTAAATAGAATTATCATTTATGGGGTTTTGGGGTTTTGGGGTTTTGGGG